CATGCCTTATCACACAAAGATCATCAAAGGAAACAACCCTGTTTGAAACAATAATAATTAATCATACCTAGCCCTAGTAACTTAAAAAAAATCTCAATAAAGGAAGTGAAAATTATAAACATGGTCTTTGCTACAGAGTGCTTCTTTCCCAAATTCAATCTAGTCTTTGCACAATTTAATTACCCAGGTGATAATCTTTTATCATGAAATAACAATGTGACAATTAAATGCGCCACTGCAACTTGCATATTCCCACAAAATTAGCTTCAAAAGCTTAGACAAACAGACAAACAAATAAACGAGCAAAAACATTCAGCACGATTGGAAATGACCTGACCATTCACAAATGTTAAATTATTTTCCCTACATTAACTGATTTATTTTCCAGAAATCAGTTTTGGTAAACATCATCAAGTCATTCATTCACCAATATCCCTTACTGGTAAAATAAATAGCAGCATTTAAATTACAGTGCTATAAATGCATACTGCAGCACCCCCTCCTCCCCCCTCCTATATGTTATACATGTGTAATTTGTGGAAATTACACATCAGTGCTTTCAATAAGACCCTGCACCCTCCGGAGCTCTGGAGGGTATTCTGTTGTGAGTCACCCGGTATATTCACCATGCTCAAGTCGCAGTCCAGCAGGTGCTGTACCAAGGTGGCCACCTATTTCAAATCTTATTGAAAGCACTACACATGCCTCCAGATAAATGCCTTAGTAAATTTGCCATTGACCCAATAACAAATGTAAGTTGAATTAGTTGAGCTTTCCCAGACCCACCCTATCTTAAACAGGTCTACAAAATAAGATATCATTTCAAATATTCATGACCTGTGCATAGGCCCAGTTATGTTCAAAATTTAGCAGCATAATAGTTTGGTAAAAGCAGGTATCTAAATTGTATCATTTATCATGTAAAACATATGCTACAAACTTAACTCTTTATTCTGCAAACATATTTACATTTACATCATGGTTTTCTATAACAATCTCAAGGCCAGTAAATAACATTAAAATCTTAGCACCAGGTTTACTGGGAATTTAAGTTGACTCCTTTCCACCAACTTGGTTGAAGAGTTTATTTTTAATGACTTGGGACATGAGACCATGAATAGCCTCAATGGATGTTTTTGAGCTGAAAGATCACAAAAGAAGTTTTAAAGCCTCAAATATGCACATAGTTATCTCAAAATTGTTCTGTAAACTTTTCATTACTATGAAGAATGACTATAGTGTTTTGCATGCCATTATAATCTGGCTTAATGATTAATTTACCCACTGGACTCAAGGTTTGATCCATAACACGCTCATTGTGCAGTGTTGTTGCATCAGATAATTCACTATCATTGTACCCAATTTATTGTGGCCAAATTATGTTAAGAACTCAGCTGATATATGCAAATTACATGTACTTTGTTGTACCCCTTACTGATGGGGCACC